TTATGTGCTAAATTGACGAAAATGACACAAAAGACGTTTGATGATGTTTAAAAAAAGGCACCCCCGTACTTCAACAACACAATGAAATGTGTTAGTCTACTGTTTAACAACCAACATATTGCTTATTGATTAGCACAAATCTTTCCAAATAATTGATTCGATCCTTCTAACAATAAAACAACATCAACACGACAGTTTGAAATTACAAAATGTACGAAATGAGAATGAATGCATCTACACTGCTTATCATGTCGATTGTGTTGTTGGATTGTTTTGCGACGCTCAAGAGCCAACAACTACAACAACAACGACCTCAGCAACATCAACAAAAACATCAACAGAAGCAACAACAACAACAACAACGAAATGTATACAGCAATAACATGAATAACAACAACATCTTTAACAACTTCAAACAAAACGTTAATCAAGCGAATCAAAACATCAACAATCCTAACAACAACTTTAACAATCAAAATAACAACCATAAAAACAACAATAATTACAGCAACAATCCCAATTCTAATAACATCAACAACAATAACTCTGACATCAACAAAAGCACGCACAGATGGAAGCAATCAGCCAACAGTAACAACAACAACAACAATTACAACGAGCGCAACAACATTAACAACCCCCACAACTACAACAACAACAACAATAAACACAACAATATCAACAATTACAATCACTTTTATTATTCTTCCAATCACAAACAAGCAATGAAAAGTAAGTTCGTTGATACGAAGCCCAACATCATATTCATTCTGACTGATGACCAGGACACTGAATTAGGTAGGTTTGTTTGTTTGTATGTTTTTCTGTTTGTTTGTATGTCTCTCTGTTTGTTTGTATGTCGTCGTGTTGGTTTTCAGCCCTCTTTGTTTGTTTGTTTGTTTTTGTGTGTGTACTTGCTGCCGTTTTTGTTTATTCTCATGCTTGCACGCTTGCATATCAACATTAAACCTTTGACGTAACTTGGAATGAAATGTGCAACAAAACAAACAATTAAACAAACCACTAAACGAACAAGCAACAAAACAAACAATTAAATGAACAGCAAAACAACAAAACGAACAACCAAACAAACGACCGCCTAACACACAGGCTCCATGAACTTCATGCCGAAGTTGAAGAAGTATCTGCAAGAAGCAGGCACCACCTTCACGAACGCCTACTCGACGACGCCAATGTGCTGCCCGTCCAGGAGCTCCTTGCTTACTGGTCAGTTAGACTCTGTGTGTTTGTGCGCGTGTGTGTGTGCGTGTGAGTGTATGCGCATGCACGTGTAGAAATATTGCTTACATAGACGACATATACACAAATTATTTATTAAATAGCATACACTCACTTGTACTCACATACGTCTGTGTACGTCAACCAGGTTTGTACGTGCACAACCACAACGTGTACACGAATCGTGAAAACTGTTCCTCAGAAAGTTGGAGAGCCACACACGAGAGGTTCAACTTTGGTACCTACCTCAATGAAGCCGGGTACATCACTGGTTGGTTCGTTTGTTGCTGATGCTCTTGATAATGTAGGACTTACATATCACTCAACACTTATAGCTAAACTTTCGTGCCACACAATTGTTGCACTATCCACTCCACACGACGCACACACGTTACGTATCTCGTTTGCACGCGCAAGCCACAAACATCGCATCATGCACGCATGGCGTTTGATATTTTTGAGTTTCGAACAGACGGTAGACGCGCGAGATATTGTCCTTCTACCAAATGAACTAACTGGCCGACCGTGTTTTGGTGGCTGGTGTTGTCGTTGTTGGTAATGTTGTCGTTGTTGGTGATGTTGTTGTAGTTGGAGTTGCTGCTGGCGCTGCACGCACATTGCGTGTTTCTTGTTAGAGTTGTAATTTTCGAGAAACCGATCTCACCACTGTTGTCGTTCCTATAATTACCACTTGCTAGCTGCAACTTCGTCTGACATATTATTTTACGTTGTGACGTCATCATGACATTCACTGAACATGTGCCAATCATGGGCAAACAAACATCTTTTCTGACTGTTAATGTTTGGCATCTCACCTAACCGTCAACATTCCAATTAATACATGCCACGTGCACTGTGTTATTCACGGACAACCGTTACATTGTTGTTATTATTATTGTTATTAATGGTGGTGGTTAGTAGTAGTAGTAGTAGTAGTAGTAGTAGTAGTAGTAGTAGTAGTTGTTGTTGTAGTAGTAGTAGTAGTTGTTGTTGTAGTAGTAGTAGTAGTAGTAGTTAAACTGAAAACAAAATCATTCATTGAAAATAATACTTCTGAAACAACCCCCTCCTTGAAATGTAAGGATACTTCGGTAAGTACCTAAACGGGTACAGGGGGCAGCATATACCGCCGGGCTGGGACGAGTGGATGGCCCTGATCAGAAACACCCGGTACTACAACTACTCGCTCAACCACAACGGGCACATCGTCAGACATAGGGACAGTTACAAGGAGGACTACTTGACTGACGTCATCACGAAG